GGGTTACTCAAGCCCTTGCCCATTCCTATCGGTCCTGGACGAAGTGTATCCATGGACTTCATGGACACACTCATGACCAACAAACATCATGCGCAAACTTGAGGCTAGAGATAAGGCCACATCAGATGAGTTTGCCATGGTGGATGGGTTACTCTATCTTGAAAAGGTAGGATTCAAAAGATTTAGTTGTTCCAGCTAGTGAAATTTTGTACAGTTTATTTTTAGGTGAGTGCCACGACACAACCGGACACTTCAGATACAAAAAAAGACGAGTGCTAATATAGTACAAGGTTTTTGGTGGCCTGGAATGCTCCACGAAGCGAAGTAGTATGTATAAACTTGTCAAGTCTATCAACGGGACAAGCCGTGAACTCAAGCTCTGCTTGGGTTACTCAAGCCCTTGCCCATTCCTGTCGGTCCCGGATAAAGCGTATCCATGGAATTCATGGACACACTCGTGACCAGCAAGAGTGGGAAGAGGCACATCTTCGCCATAGTTGACAGGTTTACTAAGTACGCTAGACTAATTGCCATGCCGGAAACAGCGAGGACAGACCATGTCATCAAGTTATTTATGGATAACTAGGTGCGTGATTTCGGACTGGCCAAGTCCATCGTTAGTGATAGAGATGTTTGTTTCGCCAATAAGATGTGGAAGAGGGTTGTTGAACAAATGGGCAGCCAACTCCAAATGACTTCGAGGAATCATCATGAAGCCAACGGTCAAGCTGAACAGACGAACCATGTGGTGCAGCATCTGCTGAGGCATTACATTAAGCCTAGCCAGGATGGCTGGGATGAGAAGTTGCCACTCATCGCCAGTTTGTACAACAACGCTGTACACAGCACCAACGGCGTCAGTCTGAAGCAGCTGCATTTGGGGTGGAAGCCTAGATTTGCTCTAGACTTTCTCCTGCCTAAAAACCGATCTGCTGCAACTCCTGGAACCATAGAATTTGGTGTCCGCTATGAGAAGTTGCAGCGGGTTGTCAAGCACATTAAGAAATCTCAAGAAGCAATGATTGCTTATGAGAACCAACATCGACGACAGTCCATATTTCAGGTAGGGGAACGTGTTTGGGTCAAGGCTAGTGAGGTAGGACAATAGTTCGACATCTCTAGGAAACTAATGCCTCAATATTTCTGTCCTTGAGAAGTCTTGGCTATCGTGGGTAGTGAGTTGGACGGTCCCTCGTACGTTATTCGAATCCCTGGTCACCTGCGTACTTACACTGTATTTCATGCCTCAAAGCTTCCACCTTTCCCTAGGACACAATAGTTCCCATCAAGAAGATCAATGCTGCCCCCAACCATGGATGGCCACGTGGACGTCGACGACATTTTGGACCACAAAGATATGCCCGTCGCCAAGTCTGTGGGTAGAGGAAGACCGCCGGAACCCAAGAGGGAGTACCGGGTCAGATTCAAGCATCGCACTGATCCAAAAGAAGACCAACGGTTCACAAGAGAGGAGCTGGTTGAAACAGCACCTCCAATCGTGGCAGATTATGAAAGAAGGTTAAAGGGGAAGGCTCCTGCTCAAGAAGCATCTCAGCGGGCTTTGGAAGCTAAGGGGGATGGAATGTGAGGAATGTGTGTCGTAGCCCACATGCACATGATATGGGTTGTGCCCCCTAGCAAGCATCGTGCAAGCCCTAAGTGAAGGCGGGCCTGAATATCCACAAGAGGACCTTATCTCAGCATTTTCAAATGTGGGTATCAAACAGTTGCAGCACGCCAATTGATTGAAGTGCAATGTGAGCCTCTCTGCGGGCTCTTTCCAAAAACAGCAGCTGCGTCAAGCAGTTGAGCCCGAGGACGGGTGTATGCGCTCTGGTACACACAGTGTGACGCCCACACATCACTAAGTGGCCGCAGGTGAGTCAGAATGCAGCATTGTCGTCACAAAGGCCCAGCAAGCCAATGAGAGTACAGCAAGCTTGGAGGCTGCCTGGACGTGCCCAACCAAAAAGGGATCAGGCCCACAACTGTCGGACAGGGCTTGGACGTAGACATTGGGGCCCGATCGGAAGCTACTGGGAGCTTCCTCAGCCAGGCCCATGCAGCCAAAAACAGGGCTACGACTTCCATATACGAAGATCGCTGGCCAGAGTGGGAATATTATGGCCTAGGCAGGCAATGCGGACACGCTGCTGCGTTGCTGCACAAGTGTCTGCATGTGCGCAGCTGGCTGGGACGCAAGCGGGTGCTATGAGAGGAGAGGGGCGTTGCTAGGCAGCGGGCCCACGATAGCCATAGCCGACCGCAAGGGCGCATGCGGATGATGGGGAAAGGTGGTCTTCGGCTAGGAGGCGCATGAGTGGGTGGCCGAGATCAAACGAGGGGAGGAGAGAGAACGTACCTGGTGTATGTGGGAGGTCAGCATTGGTATGGATGTCATGTACGTTGGTCTTCAACGTCGGAAGCGATCCGATCGCAAGGGAGGAGAGAGAACGTACTTCGTGTATGTGGGAGGTCGGCATTGGTATTGACGTCATGTACATTGGTCTTCAACGTCAAAAGTGATCCTATTGCACGAATGTAGATTGGCTAGATAGGCTCAATACGGTAGGCTGGGCGCTGGGCGCCAGACAAAGATGAGCGACATTGGATACTGTCTTGGTGGGACTTGAGCGCGATAACAATGACACATGAGTTCACTGCTTTTCTCTTATTTGGATGGAATCTTGGTGCATTTGAGCTCACTGCTTGGTACATGCCTACCTAGACTTCTGCGTGATTTTGCAACTTGTATATTTGTCTATCGCACTCGCTCATATTCCTTGCACTAGTCAATCAATCAATCAGTCAATCCATCAATCAATCAATCAGTTACTCATCAAACAATCAATTAATCAGTCAATCAATCGATTAATTCACCGATTGACACCATCAAGATGGTAACTTGATTAGGCAGATCCGCATCTCAGAGGACTGCTCCGATACCATACTGTCACATGCCAAGTGGCGCAGACCAAACGCAAGAACCGACCTCTCACAAATGGAGTAAGGATAGCACAGCGGAAGCCTGAAATACCAATAATCATACCCAATCAATGTCGTGATACAAATTGAACATCGTCGTCATCATCATCACACGACGAAGCGCCAGGCACCAACATACATAGATGAGGAGAGAGGAGAGACAAAGAGAGGGGGAGAAAGGGGAGATGTCGCCAACCCAAAATGTCGTCGACATGTCGTTGCTCATATGTCAAGTCTGAATCTCAATTTCACCAAGTCTCAATGTCGCAAATCTCTCTCTCTCTCTCTCTCTCTCTCTCTCTCTCTCTCTCTCTCTCTCTCTCTCTCACACACACACACACACACACACACACACACA